TTTTGACGTTGAAAAGTGAAAACATTGAACGGCTTACATTGGATAGTGAGTAGTGACGCACCTAAGAAAAAGGTATTACGTTGTTCGTGACAACGATACAAAACTAAAAAAAATCTATAAGCGTTTCATATACTATTTAAAATTTTCTTGTAACATGTGAGGTAAGGTAACTATCGAGCATTAAATAAGAAGTGTAATCTAAAAAAAGTACTAGTGAGTAGCTGTGTAAGAATTGCTTCTAGCTGCTTAATGTACGTTCGTGTCATTTTCTATTCGCCTTTGTTCTTAGATCCACAATTTCATGACTCAAAAATTTCAATTTCATTAGTATTTCTACGGAAGAGTAGGTCTTTCAGACGAAGTTCCAACACTTTCACACAGAACTATTTGGTTTTAGAATTACACAAATCCTTTTGATTTTCTTTTGGGTCAACCACAATTTTTTTTCTTTTTTTGTCAATCAAACACCATATATTAATTCATGGTAAATAACTCTCTTCTAGAGAGAGCCAATCAGGAACCGTAAAACTTACATGGGAGAAACAGAACCCGCGACCTCTTGCACATTTCGCAAGATGATCGGCGGAAGTATTACCACTACGAGGGATATGCTGCAAACTAAACGAGGTAAACAAATCTTTGTAATACGCAAAATTCAACAACTCTGTATAAAACGTGGGCCACTCCTCCGGATTAGAGGTCATCTCTAAAAGATCCGAGCAATCCGTCAAAATTAGTATGCTCGTCATATGAATCGCCACTAAACACTTCATCGTCCACAAAAGAGTCTCCAGTTCTGCATGAAGGGGAGACAGACTTTTACACTAGCCTTTTAATCTTAAGTGCAACCACAAAAATTTGATTACGTCAACCACAAAAATTTGATTCCTTATTTGATCAAATAACGAAGTAAGAAGCTAAGAGCATGATTATCCAAGGGCTCTTAATAATACTTCTTAAGAATATTTAAGTAATATTTTTTTTGTTCCACCTCTTAGCATTTTTTTTTTTGTTCCTTAGCTAAGAAACACTTCTTAGCTTAAAGGCACTTTTGGGAATAAATATAATCAATTAAATGCTAACATAATCTTAAAATTTTCTTAAGAGACTACATATAATCATGCTCTAAGTCTTCAGGACGTTAATTAACGACGACAAGCCGCTACTGCCTCATTAATGTTTTATGTTTTTTTTAAAAAAAGGATTCTGCTTACTATTAGTTATGACTTTATTGTTACTCTCCACAGAATCCCAATGCAAATATTGCAAAACGCAAACCTACGTTTTTTATCTGCAAGCCAAAGATTATGCATAGTAGTGCACCATATTTAATGGAACACTATTCATAAAACTCAATTTTGTTTTCTCAAAATGATGTACCAGTGGAAAGTGATTTCTCTTATTTTTTGATGTTTTTATCATAAAAATGTAGGACCATTAGATAAGAAAATAGTGTTTCAATTTTTTTCTTTATTTAAAACATCTAAAATTAATTTATTTGAAATATTCTTTTTTGAGTGAAAAATGAGGGAAATCATTGGAGAATAAAACAAACTCATTTTTAGTGTTATTTCTTTTTTGATAGAAAAATTAAAAGTAATTATTAGAGATGCCCTTATAAAAGTTTCTTTTAAAATCTTAAAAATAAAAAAAAAACCATGTGCTTACACACCCAAAAAAATGATAATTCCATTTATTAAATTAGGAGTCCAATAATTAAATGAAAGAAATGACCCATTGGGAGGTCAAACCACCATCTCATCTTTGTCTTTTCAGACAAGTCAACCCTAATTTACTCAAAAACCAAAATTTTTAAAAAATCACTAATCAATTAATTACTCCCTTTATATATAACTCATTATCAATGTATCAGGACCTCAACATCATAACCCACAAAAACGAACAAAAATCTTCACCGGAAAAAATGGAAGACGACGGTTATTACCTCGACACCGATCTCGATCTCAGCTTCACCTCCACAACAACAGATCGTACATTCACTTCATCAAGCGCTAGAACGAGTCTCGCACGTTCAAGCCTCACCTTAAGCTTCAACGACAGACTCTCCACCGCAACAACACCTTCAACCACCACTTCCTCCGCCGCAACAACACTCCACCACCGTCGTTACGATCCTCACTGGACATCAATAAGAGCCGCAACAACTCTCTCCTCCGACGGAAGACTCCATCTCCGCCACTTTAAACTCGTCCACCACCTCGGAACTGGAAATCTTGGCCGTGTTTTCCTCTGTCACCTCCGTGATTGCCCTAACCCCACCGGATTCGCACTTAAAGTAATCGATCGTGATGTTCTCACGGCGAAGAAACTTTCACACGTGGAAACAGAAGCTGAGATCCTCTCCTTGCTAGACCACCCATTCTTACCTACACTCTACGCACGTATCGATGCTTCTCACTATACTTGTCTTCTCATTGATTATTGCCCTAACGGTGATTTACATTCCTTGCTCCGTAAGCAACCAAACAACCGGTTACCGATTTCTTCGGTTAGATTCTTCGCCGCTGAAGTACTCGTAGCCTTGGAGTATCTCCACGCTCTCGGAATCGTTTATCGAGATCTCAAACCAGAGAATATCTTGATTCGTGAAGATGGACACATTATGCTCTCAGATTTCGATCTCTGTTTCAAAGCCGATGTAGTTCCAACTTTCCGATCTCGAAGACTCCGGCGAGCTTCGTCTTCTCCGAGGAGGACTCGTCGTGTTGGCGGTTGTTTCTCCACGGAGGTAGAGTACGAGAGAGAAGAGATAGTAGCGGAATTCGCGGCGGAGCCAGTGACGGCGTTTTCGAAATCGTGTGTAGGAACTCACGAGTATTTAGCGCCGGAGCTAGTCGCCGGAAACGGACACGGAAGCGGTGTAGATTGGTGGGCGTTTGGGATATTTCTATACGAGATGTTACACGGAACGACGCCGTTTAAAGGTGGTACCAAAGAACAAACACTGCGCAATATAGTATCAAACGATGACGTGGCGTTTACGTTAGAAGAGGAAGGTATGGTTGAAGCGAAGGATTTGATAGAGAAGCTGTTAGTGAAAGATCCGAGGAAGAGGCTAGGATGCGCCAGGGGTGCGCAAGATATCAAAAGGCATGAGTTTTTCCAAGGAATCAAGTGGCCGTTGATCAGAAACTATAAACCGCCGGAGATTCGGGGGCTGGTGAAGAAGACGAAGGCACATGATGGTCACGTGACTGCTGTTGTCACGCCACGGAGGAGGAAGTGGTTGTGGTGGGCTTTATCGCATTTACTGCCTAGTAAAAGCTTGAACAAGAGTAGCAGTAAAATTCAGAGCAACAATAATTACTATCATTATGTGGGTAAAAGCTATAACGCTGGTGGCAAACGCGTTTAAGGCGTTTTAACCTTGAAAATATCTCATAGTCTCATACGATTCTAGAGGTAGAAAAGAGGGGATTGGTGGTATACAACGAATAGCGCATGTTAGCAGTCTGATCATTTTTGATTTTGACATATTTTTTACAAATTACAAGAAACTACAAGTAAATTTTCATTTTTTCGATAATTTCTTTTTTTTTTTTCCTAACCACATCTTAGCAAAGGAGTTCCAAATTATATTTATAACTATCATTCTTTTTTTTTTTTTCTTCTATTTATAACTATCATTCTATCAAACGAATTCAAGCATACTTTTCTTAAAGTCTTCTTGGGTAATGGGCCTTATCATTGGGTCCATTTGTAAACAATTCACTTGCTTGAGATTTGAGAAGATGCTTATGAATAATAGCCCTATTATTTTTCTCTTGAATTTTTTAACAATGCAATATATTATATAAAGCTATATTTTGGGCTGGACTTAGACCCAAATGTATAGTAATTTTATGCTCTGTATTTTATCAGCCTTTATATATATATTTTTTGAACATTTTATCCGCGTTCTAAAGACACCTCTCTTTGAAGAGGATTTGTGGCACATCAAGTTAAACCAATTTACACAATTACACACAAGACACTATGATAAAGAGAAACAAAACATTAACAATCTTGATTTTAGTTTATAAATTAAATTTACAGCTTATAAGTTTACAACTTACTAGGAAATTGAGAATAAGAAAACTCTCAAAATCAGAAGCAAAGCAAATACACACATTCAATGCTTTGTCTTCTTTTCTACAAATATCCTCTTTTCATGCTCTATCTTTATTCCTTTTCTACTCTTTCTTGTATTTCACTCTCATTTATTTGATTTATATGCAAGTTGTTCGTTTGATTTCTTTTTTGGAGTTAAAATTACCAAAATTTTCATCATTTCCGTGTATAATAAAGTCGTATATTTGCTTCTCTATATTTAGAGAGAGACAAAACGTTATAAGTGAGGGATCTTTTAAAAAGATTTGGGCGGCTGTATAGTTGTTGTTGGGAAAGGTAAAATATATTTGGAATTAGTAATTTAATGCTTCGCTGCGATTTCAGCACCGCTATTTGGAATTTAGTTCAGTCGAGACTTAGGCTGCATTCCTTACGTTTTATGGACTGGGCTGAGCTGTTATCTTGGATCAGAAGGACAAGTCCTACTGCTCCTTCTACATTGAGGAAGCTGATTACTCAAGCCGTTGTTTACGCAACCTGGAAGCAGAGGAATAACATGTTGCACAATTCGAATCACATTGCACCTGCTGCGGCCTTCATGATCATCGATAGGGAAGTCATCAACTCTATAAATGCTCGGAGGCACCGAAGTAAGTTCCGTAATCTTATGAGCCTATGGCTCATATAATGCTCCTACTTTGAAGATCTGTTTCTTCTTTGTTTACTTCCTTGTTTTTTATCCTAATTTTTGCCAAGGAACTAAACCTTAGGTATTGCACATGTAATTCCAAACCTTTTCATTTTATATGATATTTACCCACTTAGCAAAAAAAAAAAAAAAAAGGTAAAATATATATGCAAAATTAGTAACTTGTATCAATGAGAACTATATTTACAAAAAGTTTATAATATAAGATAATAAATTATTGATGTTATGATGATTCATGAAACTATACTTCCTTGGAGAATCAAAAAGGGATTCATGCAAATCCCAATGTCAATTAATGAACCAAAAATCAGACCAAGTTCATCTGTTTCTCCTTTCCTTCATATCCAAGTCACCTTTTCTCTCAAGATTTCTCTCCTTTCTCTTCACTCTATATATACTCTTCATTCCCTTTCCTACTGCTCCACCACTCTCTCTTCTTTCACCCACAAAAAGGGTTTTTTCTTTTCTTCATCACATTCTACACCCAAAATTTTCAATCTTTTTAAATTTGTTCTCTTTCTTTTAATATATTGAAATACCAAAAAACCTTGGTTGTGGTAATGGCTGAGTTCAAGAGTAAGCTAAACAAAGGTCACGCCTTTACAAGCAAATGTGCTTCCTTGGTGAAGGAGCAACGAGCTCGTCTCTACATTCTTCGTCGTTGCGCTACCATGCTTTGTTGCTGGTACATCCAAGGCGATGAGTAAAGAGATGACTCTCCTCCTTAATTATATATAAATCTATATATAAAATATATATTATCACTATGTCCCTAATATCTAGTTCTTGAAGCTCCATGGACATTGAAGCTCTCTCCTTTGGCTGCTTGGCTATATAGAATATTTCTCTCTTCTGATATATTCTGGTGCAAAACCCTTTTACAAGCCTGTCGGTTTTTTAACCTAAATGATCATTCTTTTAGGTTTTTTTTTGGGCTTGTTTCATGGGTTAATTTGCATCAGACAAGACAGAGAGAGACAGAGCAAGAAATTTATCCGCCAAGCGAGCCGGAGTTTTTACTGTGTCTGAGACAGAGACACTGGAGATGCTAATTCTTTAAGAAAGTGAAGATCTTTGAAGGGTTCCTTTGATCGGTTTCACTTTGGACCGGAGAAGACTGTTTTGGTTTCATCAGTGACATTTCCTCTGTAAAATTTCAGTTTTGTGTCTTCCTTTTATTGCATTATATTTTAATAAGACCAAATAAATAAGTCTATGGTTATGTTGAACCATATAGACTAAAACATGTCTCTTTTGATTCTCGTATTCTAATAATACAACAACAGTTTTCACTTTTCACCATAAATCCTACAGATGATAGTTTGCTTAGTCCAAAATTTCATGTCAATGAGATTTATCTCTAGTTTATCACTCCTGCTCAACCCAATCCTTGAACAGCAACCAGATGTAAATGGGAACGTTTAACGCCGCAATGACGATGGTCATCATGATTGTACGTATCACTCTCTGGATCACAAGTTTTGTTCTTGATTTTGATGCTGATCTCATCAGAGGATCAGACCCACCAGCACCTGCATTTACATCCGAGTCCATCACAAGCTCAATCTGTTCGCTAGCGTTCTTTCTAGCTGCTGATCTCAACACCGCGTTACCCCTAGAGAGAAAATAAGAAGACAGAAAAAATCAAAACTTGTGTCTGTAGTGAGAATCCAAAGGATGGTTGAGGTCTTACTTTTCTACAAGAGGTTTATCGCTATGACGTTTCACAGGAGTTTGAAGAGCTTTCTTCACAAGATGCATAGATCCTTCTGCGTCCCATACCATTTCATACTCACAGTTCTCATCTTCATTCTTCTCCTTAGTGACGCTGCTTAAAAAGCTTGACTTCATTACATTTGAAATACAGTCTGCAGCGTTGTTTAAGAAGCTTATTCCATGATTTGGCCAGAGAAGGAGAGCAAGAAGGGACACAGCGAATAGAGAAAGGTACCTGGTAGTCAGAAATAGACTCAAAAGTTCACAAACATGCAATGACGACAATAATCATAAAGCCAAGAACTCTCTGATCAGGAATATACCACATGTAAATGAATAACTGGCATGGAAGGAAGCATAATTGGGTGTGTAACATTTTATCTGGATCAGATGAGTTTTGATGGACGGCATTGGGAACAGATAATAGCATGAATGACGGATATATATTTCCTTGTTGCCAGCTTATAGTACCTAAAGTATGCTGTGATATGATATTCACTATCAAAGATTGTCCATAGTGTAAATACAAATATTTTGTAGCCATTACAAAGTTCTATTACCTCTTTTACAGATCCTGCTTTCGATTTGTGGGTTACAGTACACTGGTCATGATCATGGCCAGACAGAACGAGTATCTGGATCAAAAAACACAAAATTGTTGTTGTAATGATTGGTTTGGCATTAGTAGTGAGAGTTGTGTTTGAAGTAATAGAGATAATAGCACAGATCGTACTTTCACACGAACAGAAAACAGAAGAACTTTATCTTACGGGTTTTATCAACTCCAGTAACTTCGTAGATGATTCTGGAGTGATATAATTCTGGTATCTGCATAGGAAGATAAAATATAAAAAGGACAACACTGAATTAGTTGTGCCCTGTTAAAATGGCTATATTAAAAGATAACTCAAGTTCTGTATAATGAAATGGAAAGGTAGAAGTTTACATTACTTCTTGATCTTGAAAATGGCGCCAAAACCGCTGTACATGAAATAGTATACATTAGACCACAAACAAAAGTGTTACTTCTTTGAATTACACTACAATTCGAGCTGACAAATCACCTGATCAATAACAGAACCACCACGGTGAGGGCCGCATGGGGTTTGATCGGGCCGATATAACGGGATGTGGGTCAACAAAACTCTAGGATGTGAGTCATGTGACTGTGCATCTAAAAAAGATCAGAAAAATTTATGTGTAAGCTTCACAAAGATAGTAAATGCAGAAAGGATGCAGCTGAATAACATACCGGTGGAGACATTTTGTACAAACTTCCAAACTTCTGATGCCATATCCTTCTGAGGATTCCCTGCAACATATACATCACTTTTCAGTTACAGATCCTTGGTTTCTGTTTGAGGAGAAATTCTAAGCATGTAAAACAATATCTTAATGATCAATGCGTAGATCAGAGCAAAGTTTGTAACAACCATCGATAGCTTGTGCATCAATACTGATGAACTCAACACTTCCAATCATAAATCTGTGGTTTCTGAACCCAAATATTTTTTCGTATCGATCAATCACCTGTTGAATTGTGAAGTGATATCAATATATAGGTCGCTGACATATGTGATATATTTGAGAAAAAAAGTGATAAATGTAGTACGTCTTGCTTATGGGAAGCAACCCGAGAATAGCCAAGATCATGGTTCCCAGGGATGTAAAATGTAGGGATGTCACCAACTTTGCCTTGTGAATTCAAACCAAATACATGTTTAAATCGGCTTAAAGATTCCTGCCATCTGATTAAATAAGAAGTCAAGCATTTCCACAAACCATTTGAGCAGAAAGAAGAACAAGTGAAAAGACAAGAACAAGGAGAGCTTACTCTTCCTCGGGAAGAAATGGCCCGCCGTCGAAATAATCACCTAAAAACAAAACAACATCGGGCTTGAAGGGCAAGACAGACCGAAAGAATGATCTCCGCATGTTTATATCAGTATAAAGCTGAGCAAGCTCCAAAGCAAGCGTCTTTGACGACAAACGAAACGATGTCTTATCCATGAGCTGCATAAACACAACAACAACAACACATAATCAGATGATCAAACTCCATTAACACACAACAAAACCAAAAACCATTTCGAAAAGCTCGTCACCTGTGGATCGGCAACAATGGCTACTTTAGTAAAATTCCCATCACTCTCCACTCCATCACTCTGTTGAAAAATAAGAAACCTTTCTTAGCAATCACATATCTCAACAGTGACGAGAATAAATGATGAATCAAGCTTCTGTAGATTTATTGAGATTTCTCACACATTGGCCTTGTAATATTGTTGCATCAAAGCTATTTTTAGATTAGTGAACGATTACATTCCCAAAAATAGGAATGTCGAGAAAATTCAATTGTAAAAACCTTGGCTTTATAGAATTCCCAGCAACACATGGACGATTACAGAGAGAAATAAGCAAATACACAATCGAAGTCGAGTAAAAGTCAATGAATCTCCAAAATTGAGCATCAGTTATTGAAAAAGATGGAAACTTTACTAGAGAGAGAGAGAGAGACCTTATGGTGAGGCCAAGAACAAGTGAAGAGAGAAGGAACCCAGAAGGCGAACATTTCGCCGTAGAGGATCGTGGCAGCCCAAATGAGACATAACGCCACTGTGAGCTTATGGTGGTGTTTCATATTTCCGAGTATCAGAATCTCCTCCCTTCTCGGCTTTGCTTGCTTCGCCGAGATATCTGGTGATCGTTGTTGTTGACCAAAAATAGCGGTCAAGACGCGACAGACGCTGAGCTGCGTTTGAGTAATCCGAAAAACGCCGAAACTTGGGAATGTGAGAATCAAAAAATGAAATGGGCCGAGTTTTATATTGGGCCTAGGCTTATATTAGAACAGTGAGTGACGCATAAAGAAATAAAGAATAGCGAAACGAAAACTCAAAATCAGAGAAAAAGCCGAAACACTCAAGCATCTCCGGCGACTCCAAGAGCTCCTCTTCCTTTGCACCTCCCTTCTTCTCTCGCACTGTTTCTGAGGTTAAATCGTACTTCTCATCGATCGTCTCTTCATATTTTCCTCTATTCAATTACGATTTTCGAAGACATTGCTCGTGAATCGCGATTGTTGATGAGTGATTGATTGATGAGCAAGATGATTTAGGGATTCAGATTTAGTAGTGAGTGATTGATTGATTGTTTGAGATAATTTAGGGATTTCATGTTGTGTTAAGTTTAGAGTTTGTTGATTCAGTAGCCTAACTTTAAAATTGCATTCCTCTGCTCAATTTAGGTTCTACAAGAAGTAAACATGTCAGTTCTTATTGTGACGAGCCTTGGGGATATTGTAATTGACCTTTACCCCAATAAATGCCCTTTGACCTGCAAGAACTTCCTCAAGCTTTGCAAGTAAGTGTCTCTTTGCCTATCTATTTAAGAAACATTTCTATGGTACTAACTATGTCTTTACGGGTTTTTAACTTTCTTATTTGGTTTAGGATCAAGTACTACAATGGGTGCCTTTTTCACACTGTGCAAAATGATTTCACTGCACAGACGGGTGATCCAACTGGCACGGGAGCTGGTGGAGATTCAATCTACAAGTAAGATGCTCCTTTTTTACCTTTTGATATGTGGACTTTGTATATTTTGATCAATCTTTACCTTTGAATCATTTAAACATGCTCACCCACCTCCTTGTCTGTGTTTTCTCTGGTCAATGTTTGAACTTTCCTTAATCATCTTGTTCTTTTTTTGTTGGATTTTTAGATTTCTGTACGGTGAGCAGGCTCGTTTTTTCCGCGATGAGATTCATCTTGATTTAAAACATTCAAAGACCGGCACTGTTGCAATGGCCAGTGGTGGAGAAAATCTCAATGCTTCCCAGGTATGCTAAAATCATTTTGATTGAATTACTAAGTTTATGATGCTATATTTTCATTAGGAATTCTCTTAGAAATGGTATTTGTTTTCCTCTGGTTCAGTATAATTATTAATGTGCTGTTGATCAATATGTCCTCATGTGAACTTTTCTACTCTCTTTTCAGTTCTATTTCACACTTCGTGATGATTTGGACTATCTTGATGGGAAACACACTGTAAGTGCAAAATTATTAATGATCTGCCTATTCTTTCTTTGGTATATATTGGTCACCTTTGATATACCATTTTATGCCATTTTACAGGTGTTTGGGGAGATTGCCGAGGGGTTTGACACTTTGACTAGGATAAACGAAGCTTATGTTGATGCAAAGAACAGACCCTATAAAAACATTAGAATCAAGCACATACATATACTTGAAGATCCATTTGATGATCCTCCACAGCTGGCTGAGATGATACCAGATGCTTCCCCCGAAGGAAAACCGAAGGAAGAGGTCGAAGATGATGTGCGACTTGAAGATGATTGGGTTCCAATGGATGAAGAACTTGGTGTTCAGGAACTGGAGGAGGTTATCCGTGAAAAGGCTGCCCATTCTAGTGCTGTTGTACTTGAAAGTGTAAGTATCACCTTTTCAATTGGCTTGTAGATCTTTCGATGTCACATCAAATTATTTTTAATTGTTGACCTTGTATTACTGTTGCAGATAGGAGATATCCCTGAGGCTGAGGTAAAACCTCCTGACAATGTG